AGTCCCAATTCTACGTGACCTTCATTCCCCACCCCGTTTTTTCGGACAGTTTTACTTGCGCAATTTCGCTAGATGGGCGTGGATAGTCATTCAAACCCTTAACCTCTACCGGGCTTCATGCTTTTTGCCACTAAGAAGCCCCTTCTACCTGTCCACGAATATTAAAATCCTCTTTCCTCTATTTCTCAAGCCGTACTGAAAGCCATATTTTAATTTGTATTTACTCAGTTGTTCTCCGATGCTCAATACGAAACCGTTGGAACTCGATCAACGGATGTACAAAAAGCAGTGGCACGCACCGTAACCCTTGGTGAAACGATGAGGGAGATCACTAGAGTTTATGAAAGCACAGCTGCTTAGTATGGCGGCCCGTGTAAGCCTAAGTGCTGAGAACTCGACCTTTTATCGAAGAATCCTAATAGACAGCAGCTCGAATGTTTTTTGAAGCCCTTTCCTTGCGGCACTTTCAGAAGCTCTTTTCGTCTTTGTCTACATGAAACAGCCCTGTTTGTGCGCTCGTCATTATAAGTTGGCCTACCTTATATTCTATTCCCATGTGCTATGGACTGCGCGATGTGGTAAAACAGTAACCGTTAGCATTATTTCAAATACCTATATCTAACCTATTATTTACTGGAAGGAACGAAAAAGAACGCAAACATTTGTTACTGCATTTTACTGATGAGGCGGTCGACTGCCAGCCTTTACTACCTGTCTGTCTGTTTGATAATCATTCTAAGCGCGCGCTGCGTTACTGAATCGGAAGACCGAGAAATCTGATTGAATTTACATGGATTAATTCTCATCCAGACCCTGAGCCCCTAATGATTACTTTCTTAATTATTAAGCTATTCTACTTTCACACACTTCTAATGCGTGTGCACAGATAGCACTTTATTACTCAGCAAGCTCTAACATCGATAAAATCTGTTTCTTGTAGTCTTCTTAACCAGCTGCGAAGTATTCTTTTTGGATAGCGCCACCCCTTTATATATATATATATATATATAGAGTTATGGTCATGCGCGTCTCCTGCCGCCTTACGGTGAACTTAGGTCTGCACATAGAGCTTGCTCTACTACTATTCATCGATAATACACCGGGGCTGGTTAATGAAATCAGGGCCCAACATATTAGCGCGTATTCTGCTAAAAGTGTAGCGTTGAAGTGGCTTGCTAAAATTAGACGAGCTTTATAGATGTTGCTATGAGAAAAAAGTTCCTATCGAGATCGGATAATTGGTAAAACTGTGTTCGCCTTGTAAGGCCCAATATATCTAGATATGGGTCACGGTCATTTGGGTCTAAAATAATATCAATAAATGTTGAGCTGAGCAGACCAAATTAACTTCCTCCGTATGTAGAAATCGTACATCGTTCGCCAGTTATTTTGGAATTTATATTACGTCTAAGAATGAAGAAGAAGAAGAAGAAACAAGAAGTATTGGAGTATGTGGACCAATAAAAAGGACATGTTACATTCGGGCCAAATGTAAAGCGTGTCCTTTGCAGTGGTCGAGCTGTATGATGATGCATCTCTCCTCTATGACTGCAATAGAAATTCTAACCAAAACGGCTTACCGCATATCCGCTTTTCTATGGAGATAACAGGTAACAAGCTGACACGACAATGCCAGTTATTGAGTAAACCATATTTGTTTGCTGCACTGGAAATGATGCAATCGTCGCACTGTCAAAGGCGGAAGGTATCAGCATAGGCTGCACGCCCTTGCAAAGTTCCCGATTCGCAAGTTAACCGAATGAAACTTCAAACAAAAGTGGTATGATCTACCTTTTTCGCATTCACGACGGCTATTGTTAGGCCCTATTATTTTCTCTCATAATAGTTACAATCACATAATTTACACCCAGCTTGCCGTTACAGATATTTTTTCTAACGCACTATATGTTTCCGTGCGGAATAACATCATATGCTTGCAACCTCTATCCAGTGTCCAAAATGGTTGTCCGTTTTGTAAATGACCCACCCTTAATTATATATGTCATAGCTATATATACGTAGCTGTGTTTAAACGTACGTATATAGATTATCTCAAACTTTTTTAGCAGCAGGTCTCATTGCACGAACAAGATAACAACTGTATATATATAGGCCGTTTGTTTGATGCACTTGTACATAGCGTATATATGTATATGCTACGGTTACTCTTCCACAGAAGAGATACTGTCGAATATCTTTGCACAGCGCCATCTATGTCTATTACAGCGCAATTAGTTACTGCTATGTCCACTTGGTACAGGTATGCGTACTAAATATCGGCGTCCCCGCCTTAATCAAAAAAACGAAACTGCAGGAACGACAGCAGGGAGCACTTTTGGCTGAATAGAAAGGAGTTAAAAGTTCAGGCCAAAGACAGCTGTCTCCTAAGGAGGGTGAACCATGGACGATGGTCAAACATAAAGTTTCTCTTTTCGCTATCCAGCTTCGACTGTCGATATCTCTTACTAGCATGTGGCCTAAAAGCCGTCCTATAGAGAAAGGACAACAGCTGGTTCGCCTATTAAAGTGTCTCTACATTCATTTAGTGGGTAAGTTTAAATCTGAATTGACTTGAATCGCGCATAATTTTGGCTTGACGGAAGTCGCATCCGTTAGTGAGAACGAATCGATACGGTATCCCTTATATTTCTGCACCTTTTCCTTCTGGTGGGAACATAAGCCAAATGGGAAAACCTGATTCCCCTGCCTGATAGGCACTACCGTCAAATAGTGTCTAACGTACTACAGGATAGGAACATAAGAAGCAAATCAGCTGGAAAATCTTGTTGTTACTAATAAGTGTCATCATTTTGCTTAAATCGCCCGTTTAATCTAAGCCTGTGTGTAACATCCGAACAGCTACTCGTTTCCGTTAGATCTCAGAGTACTCCTACATAGTTACATAAGGTATGGTGACATCGAGTGATAATATCCGAAACCAATGCGTTTTTAAGAATTTTGTTAAAACTCCACGAGCCTCTGGTATTTGAAGCTTCGACAACATACCGGGTCAGAAGCTACAATGAAATAATAATTGTTATTTCGCACGACCGTAACAGTTTTTGTTGTTGTTGTTGTTGTCGTCATCTAGGATTAGATATACAGTTGTTGTTGTTGTTGTTAAATGGGGCTTATATAGAGAAAAAAAAAACATATGATTTTATAGAACTTTTTTGCACGGCACGTGAATAATCGAGTTGTAGCTAAAATGCATCATAAATACATTTCATATTTCCAAGTCCACGATGATTGTAATAAGGTTATAAAAAAGAAGACATAAATAGGCTTTTAATCTTTTGCTACGAACGCTTCCACCAAAAACATATGTTGATTAGTACGGCCAAAATATATGTTCTCTCTGAACCGACTATACGATCGAACTAATTCAAACATATATATATATACGAAACCGATCATTCCTTTTAATATTTTTTAGTAATTTTAATGACCTAATTCTTCTTTGAAGATGACCTGTAAGATAGCGCTGGTCAATTTTTATATGAGTAACACCTTCGCTTGTTGGCCACAGCAAAATACATATCTCGTTGGGCACATCCTAGACATCCCAAAGTACATCTGCAAAAAACGGCTTTAAGCCTATGCACGGGTGTTAAACTGCACTACTATACACCGGGGTTTGTATTCTCATCATCAAACGTCATACCCTCGGAATCCGTATTGCTGAAGGACATACAAAAGACGATAGTTGAAAGTGAAGCTCAGTCTAGATTTCCTTTGTTAATTAAAAGCGATTCTTTTAGTGGATTTGCTTTGCAATAGGTATAAAGTAATTAAAAGTGAGCGTCTAAACATTATAGCAGACCGCGGGTCTTAGGCAGAATTAAGGCTTTTGTAGTCTAAACGGCTTATTGTATTTTACCAAACAAAATAATACTACCTTGTCCAACTGTCTAACAACTTTTAATTCATGTTAAATTCAGCTACATTTACAGTTGTCCTAATCCATCTAGGTGTCACACTATTATTCTCACGTGTCCGCATTCTAAGCATGTTATGATGTTTTGACGATAAATGAACATGGCTCGCCTGCCCTTCAAAGAGAGATCCTTGCTATAAAATAAGACACCGCGCTCGCATCTGGCAAATAATACTCAAGACAATTTATAAATTAATTACTAATCAATATTAAGGTTGACTTGGCAGATAGTTGATAATGCCCCTGACCAATTTAGAAGACACGTCAAAACCTAACCTATAAAAGCACACCAGTTTTGCTTCTAGTTGTACAGCCATTCGTCATGGATAGCCTTATCGCTTTCAATGAAATTTTATTTCAGGTAAATGCGAAAACATTAACCTTATACTATTGTTAAGCTCTGCTGAGAATCTTTGCACTATTTCAGCCAGCGAGTGGTTCAGTAATAGAACAGCTTTTCCTATCTAGAGAGCTACAGTAATTAAGGTTACTTTAGACCTGATTGTCGTTAAAATGAGCGAGGATCAAAGGTTAGTAGTATACGAAGGCGAGTATTTGCTTACTTGAAGATTACAGACACTTTTGTAAAGTTCTGTCAATAACCCTTTTTCCATTGGTTACATATATCCGAAAATCTCTTCTCTTTGGAAATTTTAACATAGGCTTTATCTGACATCGTTGTCTGTCTTATTATATATTCGATACACATTTGATCGATCTCGTGGTATCTATAGAGCACGCTTAGAGGAAGAAATTTATCAACCTTGTGTTACCGAAGGTAACATATGCCATTATAGGCTTACACATTTACCCCACAAGTAAAACGATTTCTTATAGTGTAGTGATGACTGCGAGGGCCATGGGATGTTACAGACGTATTATATATGGAGCTGAATTTTCGCGAATCTCCTTTTTATCCCCTAACTCCTTAATTATTTAAGGTATATACCTTATTCGTTCGTATTTGCTAGTTATTAACTATCAGGCGTTGATCTACCTACCATACACATATTCTACCAAAGCAAACTCAGGTTAGATTCCCTATAGGTGGCTCAATAATTACCGCAACACCAGGTGACAACGGTCCCAAGCGCGACAGTAGCCCACAGGAGCATTTCCCGTATGAGCAGCACCTGTTCAAGACGTTTTCTTCTTTTTTTTTCCTAATTAATATTACTATTGCTAATATTAATATTGCTATTGCTGCTGCCTCAACTGTAATCACTATTTTTATTCTATTTTTTTGATCAGGCCTGTAGTTCCAAGCGCCACAACCAGGTAGCATCTGTTCAATCGTTTGTCGCGATGGCACTTTTTAATCTCTCAGCATCCGTTTCTTCTTAGCACCGCACATTGTAGCATCAGCGGGTAGTAGCGAATTGTTCACACTCACCGTCTTTGACCTAGTCACGGTACTGAAGTATATCATTATGGAGTGCTATTCAAAATAATAATGATAGTAGAAGCAGTTGTGGTATTACTATACATGGCATTGTCACCTTTTCATACCAGTCTTTATTCCTCTATTACGTACTATACACGCGGCTTCATGCACACATACTTTTACACTGCCGAAAACACTGAAATCGCGCGGCCTGTCAAGACCGACCAGCCACGCCGCACTTAATCCTCAATCCACGTACTCTCGAATGAGGATCGGAAACTGGCTGAAGGTCCGGGTCGAGCGGCTGGAGCATCCTCTGATCATCTCACTGCAGGTCGTTACCCTTTCCCGACGGCCCTCGCCTGCGGTCGCTGTGCTCTCACCTACCAAAAGTTCCTTTCCTTTCGAGTTTTTTTGGTCACTTAATTTGTTATTCGCTTGGTTATGTGCTGACACCGAAGGTGCATGGAAATTTTGATTTAGAAAGGCTTACGTGTATAAAGGCTGCAGTGACGTATAAGTGGCGAGGTAGGGGGAAATGATGCAAGAAACTCCATATCTCTTCACCAACTGAACAGTAATATTATAGGAACAGATAAAGCATGTGCAGTAAATATAAAGATTTGATCGTCAGACCATTCTTTATTAATTTAATCGTAAAGCACGAAGACAGTGACCATATATTCCAGTATTGGCCGAACAACATCGATCAACAATAGAGCAACAACCGTGACGGAAATGGAGAAGTACCATGAAAACTGGGCATAGAAACCATGATTTACAAATGACAGAGGCATTATCGGAGACCTTAGAAGTTGCCGAGCAAACAAAAAATGCAAATCTTATATATCCACTGGAGAAGATGCTTCAAAGACATCACTAGCGTAAAAAATTTGAATACTTAAAGTTTAGCCAACAAAAGGGACTTGTATATTAATAAACAATAAAATATTCCATGGATTGTACGGGATAGATACCGCACCTTAAATCAGAGACATTTCCCCTGGTACACACAATGTTATTTGCTAGCTTCTAGCGAGCTACCTTCAGAAGCTGACTTATTTAAGATTACATTACAAATTATCTCTTAAAATCAATAAACAATATATTTCTGTTAGATTATAATAATTAGAAAATACATTTGCTAATGAAAAATATGTTTAAGTATTTTCAAAACAGTTCCAAAAATATTCGCTTCTAGCCCGTATGACTTAACAAATGTACACGCAAAATGACATGTCTGCCATCTTGGCAAATGGCTTACGTATGCAACTGGTAGTCATTAATCAAGACATCTTTAAGTATCCAGCGCGAAATATAACTCTACTCTACTCTACTCTACTCTACTCTATGCGATGAATGCAAAAGTGGGCTCAACAATTATTTCAAGACATTCAGAGTGCTCTCGTCCGGTAACACTGTTTATTCTGTGCAATGAAGACGTCTTATCAACAAATTGAAAAACACTACCCTGGTTACGAATTTATCATGCATATCAGAAAGTTCCTTAGGCCACGTGGGCTGACGGCTTCGTCCTGAGCCTTCGACCCATATTGAAATGATACAGTAGATCTATTTGGACTTCTCCAATGCGATTTTCGTGTGGCAAGGTTACCGGGAAAAGTTTTTGACTCTAGTGGAAATCTTGTCCACCAAATTCGCTTTATCCTAAATGCTTAAACTGAAACAGCTTAGTGAGCCGAAGTAGTTTATATCACTTCAATGAAGTCCATCGCAGATTTTTGACCTCAAAAAACATATTGCTTCCACTAGCATTGGACACAAATAACCTCTTATTGAGGGTTTGACGAAGCTGAACATATTTAACCGAAGTTTAAATGCCACTAAGTGAATACGAGTGTTTCGTTGTAATTTACTTGCTAATGTTTACGTGCAATTACGAACGTGTATGTATGCGTTCAGGCATAAAGTTAATTAAGGTGTAGACCCTTAGATAATAGGAGGCTTGACAAGGAATAAACGTCGAATACTTTGTTATAATCGTAAAAATCCTACGCGTCTTACGTGTCCAGAAAAATAGCTTGTTGCTTCACATCCCATACAGCAATGTTCTCAGTGACTAGATTGTTAATCTGTTGAATATAAAAGAAAAGCTCCGCTTTTCTTACTGAATCTATTGTACCAAAGGTCAGAATTTTTGACCGGTTTTGTCAATCGGGTTTGTTTCTGAATATTGTCCATTCAGAAGCGTAGATCTGGTGTTCTAAAAAAACGAGCAGTTCCAATAAATCTCTATCGCATGAAAACTACAGCGAATGATCTGCCCAATGTCGGTCTCGAAGACGCAGTCCTTTTGTGCCTGCCTGATCCTGCGGATGAGTGTCCAGATATGACCAAAGCCTCGAGAAGCAACTTAAGTAGGTGTCATAGGATTAGAACGCTTAGACAATTGTATCGTGTAGGTATAGAGAAATTATGAACTAATCAAGGGATCTTAGGTACCGTCCTATGAGATGTTACTAGAGATTAAAAGGGCTCTCTCAAGTTCGTCGTTCTCAAACGGATACAATGTATTGGGAAAACTTCAATAGACTTCATTCGGGTACGGCTTACTAGTCACGTCCAGTTTAGGACGAGGTTTGGCAAAGTTTGTGGGTCGATAAAATAGCACCAATTATAGAGCTACGACGTACAGTATTTAAAACGTCAATTGTGGTAAAGATTCTGGTCATATTGGACGCCGTGTATTAAAACGTTTAACGAAAATTTCGAGTTAATTCTTATTTGTTGCACACACACACACACACACACACACACACACTGACTACCTAAGTTACTTCTACTGTTCGAAATTCTATCGAAGGTACTCAGCCCCCAGCAAACCAAGCGCCAGTAAGCTCTACAAGAGATTTTATTGTTCCCTGTCTTTACTACAATGGCGAAAATATCTCCGCAAAAATCTTTGCAAGTAAAGCTAAAAAGTACAATGCTACTAAATTTTATTTTGTTCTTATTCCGACCTTAATCGAAGAAAGCAATTACGAAAAGCAAATTTAGCAAAGATATGTACCATTTATTAGATGGTAGCTAAAAACAACTTCGACGAATAGAACTTATATATATTGTAACTAATTTCTCCTGCCCCAGTTTTATCACTATTTCTATAAGGTTAACCTTTTTTCATCGCTGTTTTTACAGTTGTTATACACTGTATAACTCGCAAATACGGTCTCCATCTTACCATGAGGATAAACATACTTTACAAAGTGCCCGAGACCCTTCTTAAAACGTCATGTAAAATATCCCCGTACATCTATTGAATTACAAAGCATTGCATCTTTCCTCAAAGAAAATAATTTGTAGATGTGTTGTAAATTACATAAAGTGTATATATATATTAAAAACATGCTTTTACATGGAGGGGGGCGGGGGTATTTCAGCAAACACATTTTTTGAGCACGTTGGCGTACCAAATTATCTGGTCAAACGTCTTAAACTAGCTCTCAAGGTCGAAGTCTTTAAGAGATCCGTCTTCGGAAACGTACCGGTCGACTTTTATAGCGGCCGGGTTAGTCGTAGCCGATAACAGAAATAACACACATGTTATTTTTGGGTTATGTACAGCCCTTTTCATTCCTATAAAGGCGCGTTATCTATTTTACTCTGTTTGAAACACTTACAAGTTAGTGTTCAAAGGACCTATAAACTATGACAAAAAATTGTGTAAAAGAATGCTAGTACAGCGATTTAATTAATTAACACCACGTATTGCCAAGCGGTTACCTTTAGCAATACCATGACCAGCTCGGTTATAGATTCTAGGAGCTGAACATGAACATTAACGCTTCCAAAGGCCCATTGAGTAAGTCATGCACGCCGTGTGTGATTTTCCAGGAAAGATACTGATAATCAAGCTCAGAATCGTTGCAACTTCAAGTAACCAGCATTACAACAGGCGGTAAATAAAACATGCGTTTTTGCAGGGTATCAAGTACTATGTGTACCAAATGCGTTATAAAGCACAAAATAATTAAAGAAAATGGGAACAGGTAATTCACTCGACACGACACTAGGCAGGAGGAGATGGAATTCTGACATCTTTTTTGGACAGACTCAAACTTTTGAAAAAACGAAATTTTTAAGCAAATTATATTTCATTGAAACACAACTCATTTACGGGTTTCTGGTTCAGGATCGGGATAGTGGTTCAGGTGACGTCCATTGAAAAGGGAGCTGACCAAACGATAGGCATCAATTCGATTACCCTACAGCACATCGGAGGCAACTTCACGTTTGCAACCTTACCAGGTTGCTGTTTCGGCCTATATAAGGTCCAGATTGCGGGAGAGACCCGCGAAGAAATCATCATATGAACCCTCTTGGAACAAGCTGGTGGCAAAAATTCAAAGCAGTACTTTTTCACGGAAATACAAAAAAAAAAAAAAAAAGCGGGGCTTATATTTGCGTCAATACATTGAATCATACTTGTTTTCAATAAACTCAAACTACCTTTATTATTATACAGAGTTATAGCTTCATAGCCCCAGAAAACTGAAGTACGCCTGTACGCGTTGGTAATAAATTCTTCCTATAGGGTCCACGAGTAAACAGCCAAAGCAATATTGACCAGTTATTTTTCATGTTTGTACTAAAAGATTACATGCGAGGCAAAGACACACACATTTCAGGCTATGCTTACGAGGAATACATCGATTGTGTTTCTTACAAACAATTATAAATCACTGTAAGTTACCAGCTCAGTTATTAAATACGATAATTTCTGAGAAACTATTGTTCTTAACTTATGGGACACGTATAGTCATTCATGTTATCAGCATACCGAGTCGTCGTAAAGAAATCTAAATACGACAAATACCAATTAGTCATTATAGCTTTGAAACTATACTTTGCTGGAAACGTGGGCTCTATAGCAATAGGCATAAGTAAGAATACAGGATATCGATGCCAGGAACGAAGTTTAGGAAGAAAGGCCAAATGTGCTATATCTATATATAAAAACTTGAACTAATACTCGTTGAGTATTTTTTGCAAGGTAAGTAAATGACATTCAATTTAATAAATAAATGCTTTCGTGAGGTGATCTGAAGTAACAGTTGCGACGTAAATCTCAACGCAGTGCAGGGGTGCCGCAAATTGACCTCTACTAAAATGACATTATAAAAGTTAATAAATGATATTATTATTATTAAGTTCAAGCAATATTTGGTTAGCATTTTAG